AAACATCAACCATGGGGACACCATGAAACATCCGCTATGGGGCCACCATGAAACATCAACCATGGGGCCACCACAAAACATCAACCATGGGGTCACCATGAAACATCAACCATGGGGTCACCACGAAGCATCAACCATGGGGACACCACAGAACATCCACCACAGGGTCATCATGAAACATCAACCATGGGGACACCATGAAACATCAGCCATGGGGCCACCATGAAACATCAGCCATGGGGACACCACGAAACATCCACAATGGGGACACCATGAAACATCAACCATGGGGACACCACGAAGCATCAGCCATAGGGACACCACAAAACATCAACTATGGGGCCACCACAAAACATCAACCATGGGGTCACCACGAAGCAGCAACCATGGGGCCACCACAAAGCACCAGCCATGGGGACACCACAGAACATCCACCACAGGGTCACCATGAAACATCAACCATGGGTCCACCATGAAACATCAGCCATGGGGACACCATGAAACATCAACCATGGGACAACCATGAAACATCAGCCATGGGGCCACCATGAAGCATCAACCATGGGGACACCATGAAACATCAGCCATGGGGACACCATGAAACATCAACCATGGGACAACCATGAAACATCAGCCATGGGGCCACCATGAAGCATCAACCATGGGGACACCATGAAACATCAGCCATGGGGACACCATGAAATATCAGCCATGAGGACACCAGGAAACATCAGCCATGGGGACACCATGAAACATCCATCATGGGGCCACCACAAAGTACCAGCCATGGGGACACCACGAAGGATCAACCATGGGGCCACCATGAAACATCCACCATGGGGCCACCACGAAGCATCAACCACGGTGCCACCTACCCTTGATGTCCAGCTGCGCGTGGATGATGTTCCCCATGACCGACGTGTTGTGCAGGTGCTTGACGGTCTCCTTGGCGCCGCGCGTGCTGCTGAAGAGGACCTTGGCCAGCCCCAGGTGCTTGCGCGTGCGCGGGTTGTAGAGGATCTCGATCTCCTCCACGTCGCCGTATTTGCGGCACATCTCGGCCAGGAAGGGCTCGCGGACGTTGTCGTTGAGCCGCGCGAACGTCACCTCCTTGAGCGGGATCTGCCCGATGTAGAACTCGTCCAGCTGCGCCCCGCGGGGCCACGGCCGGGTCAGCGCGGGGACGGAGCGGGGCCACCGCGACCGTCCCCGGGTCAACCGTGGTCAACCACAACCTTCTCCTGGTCCACCCT